GAATTACAGCTGATCTCCAGACTACAGAGATCTACTCCCCGGGAGAAAATAGCTGCTTTGGAGGGTGGATTTTATAGCATTATATCCAAACTAAGGTCCCTCCCCTCCCCAACCCTGCCTTTCTCAGGGTCCACCCCCAAATCTCCAGTGATTTCCTAACCTGAAGCTGGCAACCCTAGTTGTCCTTGTTTTAACAAAATAGGAGCTTGCTGGATCAGGGGAATGCTGTAGACATAGTTTATCTCGAGTTCACTAAGGCTTTTGATAAGGTTCCACATAATATTCTTGTTGACAAATTGGAAAAATGTGGTTTGGATCCTATGATTGTTTGGTGGATCTGTAACTGGTTGACAGATAGCACCGAAAGAGTGCTTGTGAATGGTTCCTCATCTTATCCTTGAGGATAAGCTGGTTAAATGTGGGCTGGATGGTGCAACCGTTGGATGGATTCATGGTTGGTTGAAAAATCGTACCCAACGAGTGCTCGTAAATGGCTCTGCATCTACATGGAGGGAAGTCTCGAGTGGAGTGCCATAGGGTTCGGTCCTAGGCCCGGTATTGTTCAATGTTTTTATAAATGGCCTGGAGGAAGACATAGAGGGGATGCTTATCAAATTTGCAGATGACACAAAGCTGGGTGGGATTGCTAATTCTGAAGAAGACAGAGTCAGGATTCAAAATGATCTAGATAGGCTGGAACAGTGGGCTGAGACAAATAAAATGAATTTCAATAGAGATAAGTGCAAAGTCCTACACTTAGGTTCAAAAAATCTAAGACACAGATATAGAATGGGAGGGACTTGGCTTGACAGCAGCACATGTGAAAGGGATCCAGGTGTTCTGGTTGACCACAAGCTAAATATGAACCTGCAGTGCGATATGACTGTGAAGAAAGCTAATACAATCTTAGGATGCATTAACAGAAGCATTGTGTCCAGATCAAGGGAGGTGGTAGTTCCGCTCTATTCTGCTATGGTCAGGCCTCACCTGGAGTACTGTGTCCAGTTTTGGGCACCACATTTTAGAAGGATGTTGACAAGCTCGAGCGTGTCCAGAAGAGGGCAACCAGGATGGAGAGAGGGTTGGAATCCAAGTCTTATGAGGAAAGGCTGAAAGAGTTGGGTATGTTTAGCCTGGGAAAGAGAAGGCTTAGAGGGGACATGATTGCAGTCTTCAAATATTTGAAGGGCTGTCATGTAGAAGATGGAGCAGATCTATTCTCTCTTGCTCTGGATTGCAAGACTAGATCTAATGGGTGGAAATTACAAGAGAGTTGATACCGGCTAAATATCAGGAGAAACTTCCTAACTGTAAGAGTGGTTGAACAGTGGAACAGTCTGCCTTGGGAGGTGGTGGATGCTCCTTTGCTGGACGTTTTCAAGTGGAGGCTGGATGACCATCTTTTGTGTATGTTGTAGGGCTGTCTTTCGGCTATGATCCTGCAGAGTACAGGGGGTTGGAAAAGAGAAGAAGAAGAGGAGGAGGAGGAGGAGGAGGAGGAGGAGGAGATTGGATTTATACCCCACCCTTCACTACCCAAAGGTGTCTCAGAGCGGCTTACAATCTCCTTTCCCTTCCCCTCCCCACAACAGACACCCTGTGAGGTAGGTGGAGCTGAGAGAACTCTGACAGAAACTGTAAGGTCCCTTCCAACTCTAACATTCTACGATTCTATGATTTAGATCAGTGATACTCATTGCCTCAGGAACCATTTTTGAAATGCCACTTGTGGCTCTTTTGAGCACTGTTTTTCAATGAGGCACCCACTCCATATTCCAGGAAAGTCCCTGTAGGGACTGGAGGATGGTTCAACTGCAAGCTTCCCTGAGCTGCAGGCTTCATGCCAGGTGTCATCATGACCATGGGCCTATTAGGGTTGCCAGGTCCCCCGGGGGCCCCTTACCCACTGGCCTGGATACGGCCGTCGGGGAAAACCCCACCCCCAAAGTGTCAGGATTGCAGCAACGTGCCCGGTGTGATGACGCCACCCAGAGGTGCCATCATTGTGGTGCACTCACTTTGCGTGTGTGCCAAGGATGCCCCCCCACTGCAACAAAGGTAAGACCAGGCAACCCTAGGGCCCATAGTGGTGCGGCCTACAGGCTCTAGGGAGGCCCAGTGGCTCCAGGGAAGCCTGCATAGGAGTAGTCATCAAGGCCTACGTTTCCGAGGTTCCCTGTGGACCCTGTGATTGGGTAACAGAAGATTTTGGAGGGAAAAATTACACCTGCAGGGGAACAGAGGGTGGTGCCTGGGAAGAGGAGATAAAAGGCCTTGCCCAGAGTGGGAGGGTGTTGTCTCTCAGGGAGCACGGCTTGTGGAGGGTGGTGCAGACAGAGGGATCCCTCATCCAAAAAGGGGTGTTAGACTGTGAACAGGCACCTAGGGAAGGCTAGGACTGTATAGACAGACGTGTTAGGATTGATTGTTTTACTGATTTCCCTGTCTTTACTTTGCTCATTTTCCCTACTTCTTATTGATCTAAAGTTGTTAAATCTCTTAATAAAACTAGTTGTTACTCTGCCTGGGTCCTAACGCCTCATTTGGTCATGTACAAGGGAAAATCTATTGTAAAAGTCCTGTAAAAAGGGGTAGGGTGGGTGCTCTGGGTCCTCCTAAGTGGTGGCAGCCAGTAGTGAACCTCCCTAGCCACTGCCCGTGACACCAGGGAAGGAAACAGAGGGCTCCGTCCTCTCCAAAAACTCCCACACTCTTTTGCAGTCTCATCCCAGTACCAAAGTGGCTGCCAGGAGAAGAGCAAGCTGGTCACAGGAGAAAGAGATTAGAGCTACCACCACCTCCACCACCCACCACAGCAGCAGCCATCTGGGAAAAGAGCAAGCTGGCCGTATTGGGGCAATAATGGTTTTACTCTTCTTTCCTTGTGGCCAGCTTGCTCTCCTCTGGGTGCCTTGGCAATCTCACTCTCTCGCCTATTTTGAGGAGAGAGTGAGAAGGCAGAGAAGGAAGTAGAAGGTACACAGGCTTCTTGCAAAGAGAGGCTGCACCATGCTGCTAGCTGGCTCAGAGCAGGTTTCTGCATTGGGAGGTCGGAGCACTCCTACCCTCTGTGGCTGCTTTCTCTCTCTCTCTCTCCCTGTCACGAGACAGAGTAGCCTTGGCCACTTCATTCTCACCTGAGCTGGAGGCCCTACATGTTTCTGTAGGAATGGTTTTCTTTGTAGGAGATGGATAACCACCTCTTTGAGCAGTCAAGGTTAAGGTGCCCTGAGTTAGTGATATGAAGGATTCATTGATGTGGTCTTTACCTGATTTTAGAAGCCAGGATGGGCAAGGATCCAGAGCACAACTAGTGTCACTTGCCTGAGACTAAGGTGGAATCTGCATTTGTCTTTCCCACCGGCGTCCCAGCCTTTTGACTCAGTCTTTAAAAAAGCTATCTACATTTGGTGTCATTTTCACACCTCAACAGTGCTAGTATACTTTTGCACATCCACATATGTTTATCGTCCTTTGGGGCAGCTCCACTGTCATCGCACCTCTACACTGCTTTAAAAGAATCTTCTCCAAACAACATTCAAACAAGCATAGAGAAAGACGGCATAACAGCAGCATGAAACTGATTAAAAAATGCAAATGCAGATTCGGCCTAAGTCTCATTGAACCAAGTGGGTCTTACTTTTGAGAAAATATTAATAGGATCATCCTATTAGGATGACTGTTTTATATTCTTCCCAATCTCTGTGGTCAAGGGCTTTGAATCTGGTGGTTTCTCAAAGTATCCAACTCTATCCTGGGGTAATGGGTCCATATTAATGATGAAATTATTCCTGTTCTTAAAGTGCTGCTCCTACATTTTCCTTCCTGCTTCAAGACAAAACAAAAAGTTTCCTTTTAAAAACGCAACACTACTTCTCCATGATGACTATATCAAGGCTGTAGAGATGTAGGGTTCTGTGTATGAGGCTGAATCAACATATGCAGCTGAATGAGATGGCGGAATTGGGCATACCACTGCTGAATGTTAACCCATATCCCTAAACTTTCAAGTAGAAAACTTAGCATGAGGAAAGGGTGTAACCATCCCATCTCCTACAACAATTGAGTTCTACTAAAAACAACTACTTTGTGTCATAAGTCTGACTTGCAAGACCACTCCATATGCACAACATCTAACTTAGGTTCAGCA